GCTCAAATTTGAGCCAATAGTCAAAGTGCCTCAGTTGAACAAGCACACCAATATCTACAACTGAAGGTTTCAGATACCCTCACCTGACTCACTCCCCTCAATGTCCTCTTCTCATAGGATGTCTTTGGTTTTGGGGATTGATTCATCCTCTATCAATTCCTCCTTGAGTTTGCACAGCTCTTCTTCACTTCAGTTCATGAGTTCCTCTACTGCTATTGAGATTTGTTTCCTAGAATAATAAGGGAGTAAGTGAAATGTGGCATATTGAAGTTGAGAAATTGAGCCATCAAGCTCAGCTAATAGGTAGGAGCCTCCTTCAGTTCACCTGATGACTACCATAGGGCCTAAGTATCTTGGCTTCATCTTGTGGTTGAGTTCCTTCTCAATTTTCATATTGTGAGCTAAGACTAGTGCTCCTGGTTCGAACTTGTAGCTTTGTATTGACCCCTTCACCCTCTGCTTGAACTCCTTTGCCATCTGGCACTGTGCCTTGTATACCTGTTGACAAACCCACTCTAAGTCTTCTTGTCTTCGCTGCAGCTGGCAGCACCTATACGATATCAGTTCTTCAGTCAAATACTTATCCTTGTCCCAATTCATCAGAAAAGTCACTTTGGCAAAGTTGAATGGCAATCTTGGCTCGATCCCATGGACCATCTGATACAGCAAAAGTTTCATCGACTTTTGTGTCATCACCCTTTCAGCCCAGAACACTGATGGTGCATATGATGACCATTTGCCCACTTCACCCTCACAAGTCTTGATGAGAGCTTCTCGAACAGTTAGATGTCTTCTCTTGACAATGCCATTGGCCTGAGAATTGTATGCCAAGATCTTTATATGCCTGATATTGTACTTCTTTGTGAGGTAAGCAAGGGCCTGTTTGAATGCAGAGCCATTGTCCATGACAATCTCCCCTATGGCACCCCACCAACACAAGATCTGTTTGAATATGAATTGTCCTAAGGTTTGTCCTGTTCTGCATGCAGCATCTGCACTCAGGATACAAAGTCAGGGAACACCTACTATGTACCAGAACCCATTCAACTTCAGCATCACCATTGAATCCATGTATGCCTTGTAAAACAGAGGCTTGGGCATGGCTATGACAGGTGGGATATGTATCTTGTCCATGCATTGAATTTGACATTTGTAGCAGGTATGGAGGAACCATTGTATGTCTTGATCCAAATCATCATATGCTTGCTTCATCAACTCCAGGCATTTCTTGTATGTGGGTACTACTTGATGCTGTCCCCTCAGTTCTTGATGCCATAGATCTCCATTCTTCAAGAAGAATCTTGCTGCATACTTGACCAGCAAGCTCAGATCTAGGTCTGACATTCTGGGCAGTCACTGTTGATCTTCAAGGAACTTGTGAACTACTTCCAACTGATCATCTTGCCACTTCCCTTTCTCTGTCCTAGGGATTTCTATATCAGCAGTAGCATCCATCCCTGATGCCTGCGATAAAACCACCAGGGTCTTGGTCACTTCATTCAACTTCTCCAATCTCTGCTCTCCAACATAGGGGATCCATCCTAGTTTCAGTTCAACAACCTTTTGACTTTGGAAAAAGGCTTCTTCTTGTTCATTGTGCTGAGGGTTGAGGAGTTCAACTGCAAATGATCCTACCTCATCAATCCAGTCTTCATAGTTGTCCTCTGGTTCTGGATCCTCATCCACTCAAGGTTTCCTCAATAACCCATCTGGGCCTCTATGCTTCTCCACTGGTATGTGTATCAGTTCAAACTCAAAAAGGAGTATACCAGCAATCCATCAATTGATGGTTGCATTTGGTTGCAGGTCAGGGCTATTGATCATACCCTTGATATACTTGGTGTTGACTTCCACAGCTAAATCTTTGACTCCAAATATGTGGTTGCATATGTCCCAAAGCATGTGAAATAGACTGAACAACTCTAGCTTTGCCTGGCTATAATGACTTTCCCTTTCATTGAACACAATCAACCCAAACCTTGATGGACAATGCTTCAAATCTTCTCTGACCTGTAAAAGTAGGTAGCCTACTGCCATGTGCAAGGTATCAACAGCCAGAATGACTTGTTGTCCTGACTTGTAATCTATCAGTTTTAACACTGGTGAGTTGGTGAGTGCTTCCTTCAAGTCATCCATTGCTGCTTCATGTACTTTGTCGAATCTGAAGACTACTCCCTTCTTGGTCGATTTGATCGACAGTTTTGCCCTTTTTGCAAAGTCTTGAATGAAGATGCAACAGTAGCTGCAGAGGCCTAAGAAACCTCGCACTTCCATGACATTCTTGCAATAGGGCCAATCTCAAATCTTCTGTACCTTGGATTCATCAGGTATTTGGCCTTTGTACAAAACCTTGTGTCCCACTATGGTGATAGGTGGGACTGCTACTGCAAATTTCTTTGCAGAGATGGTAGCTCTGGTGTGCTCAAGGTGCTGTAGAACCTGATTAGTAGTGACAAGGTGGTCCCATATGAACCTCCTGATTCCTGAATTCCCTTCAATCATTTCATACATTCCATCCTCTTGCATGTACCTCAATCACAGTCCTTTTACTGGTATGTTGTCAATGAATGGCATGGTTACTTCCAGTGTTTCCTCCCTGAGTGTAAATGACACATCCCCATGGAACACTTGTACAGTGTTCATGTAGCCCATGGGGAGTTTGGTCAACCTGAACATGCCAATTGGTGTCTGAAAGGTTGTAAGGTCATGATAGTCTTCATGGATCACTTGATGGTCGTATCTGACCATAAGGTCATACATGCCATACACTGCTTGTCCTGCAAACTCTTCCATGATACACTCCATGTGTGGGGGAACTCCTGAATCTTGTATCAAGACTGTGTTGAGCAGCTGTAAGTTGTGGACCAGCCACAGTGATTTCCCATCCATCTTCACTATGCAAAACCATCTTGATTGATAAGATGAAGTCAATGGTTTGTAAACTCCTGCCATGATCTTCTCCTTGATTATTTGCATGATGTCCCCATAGATTGCCAGTAGAATGGGAATATTCCAATATACCCATGGCTTGTGTGGGACCATCAGAATCTTGAGAGGCAGGAACATGTCCTCTTGGAACATCCCCCTTTCATTTGCATCCCAAGCAAAGGCCATCTCATGGACTCATACTAGCCACTTGACTAGTTTGAGTTCTTCAGGCCATAAAAATCTGCCTGGGTCCCATTCAAACTTGTCTGCTCTCTCCTGGGTAAGTCATTTCCTGGGTGTGAACTCTGGGGGATTAACTGGTATCTGGGGGAGGTTAGCTAAAGGGTCCCCCACTTCTCTCCTCTCAACTCTGAACTCTGCTGGCATCTCCATTGCAACTGGCCAAACCTTCTTCACCATGGGTTTGTACTTCATCACTTGCTTTACCCACTCTTCCTCATCCTGTAGCTCAGTGGTCAGACTCTACCAAATAAGATTTGAAACATAAATCTGAGGACTCAAAGTCCTCCTCTGTCATTGTGAACATCATCTTGTAACCTTTCAGTCTTGCCCCTGGGCATTCAATCTCTATTTCTTCACTTTGACCTTCTTCCTCAATGCTTCTATCCATTCCTCTTTCTTTGCATCCCTTACAAAAAGGTTCATCTCTATGATACTGTCCTGTGTCTCTATGACAAACATCTTGTGATCTGATTTTTATACCTGCAGGAAAAGTCAGTGCATTATTCATGCTCAATCTCAAGGAAACTCTATGGCTGGTCGCCTCTATGTCTAATGTCAATTCTTGTTTTCAGTTTTCAGTTATATCTTGAAACTGCAAGTCAAAGCCTGAGATGTATGTACTTGATTTGTTCTTATATACCACTATAGGCTGAGCAAGATACCCCAGCCTTACAGGGGTGGCTAATCCCATCGAAATGTCTCCTTGCTGGCTATTCAAGTCCTGGATGAAGTCTAAAAACCCTTGTCCTGAGGTCGACATTGCATCCCATGGGGTTTGTGCCCAATCCTCTGAACATACTCCTTCTGCAAAACTGCATCCCTAAACTGAGGGAACTGTGCAAGGGACCTTCTAGGTCTCAGTGAGATCTGGATCCTCTTGTCTGTCTCCAGATCTGTAAACTTGACAGTCTGTTGCCCATTTCTAAAGTCTTGTGTCCTAGCCCAAATTGTGCATAGGAATGGCCTGCCCAGGAGGATATTGAAGGGAGCCAACTTGATGACTTGAATCAGCACTTGCACTTCTGCTGGACTGATCCTGAGTGAAGCATCTCACACCAGGCCCAGCATTTCATCCTTCAACTGGTTCACAGCTTCCATGTTGATTTGGCTATCTCTCTTGATGGGGAGATGCAGAACTTCAGCTATTTCCAGTTGCAAAGCCACTATCTGTGAACTGCTGTCAAGGATCCCTTCTAGCATGACCTTCCCAGCCAGCTTGACCTCTACCATTATAAGTGGCATTGAATCCATCTGCATGAACCTCTCTTCTCCTATACCACACTCAAAAGCCCTCACATCATCCAACTGTGCTGACCCTTCCAGCATTCCCAATGCACCCAAGAAGGTAGCACCAAGTGCTACTCGTTTTGTCATTGCTCAGTCCTTGAACTCCCTCCAAACATCTGGACTTATGGTGAGTAGATCTCTTCCTGGAACTGTAATGGTCTGGTCCAGGTGCTGGTGGCATTGAATCTGTCTGTGCAAACCTCTCTTCTCCTATACCACACTCAAAAGCCCTCACATCATCTGACTGTGCTGACCCTTCCAGCATTCCCAACATGCCCAAGAAGGTAGCACCAAGCACTACTCATTTTGTCATTGCTTGGTCCTTGAACTCCCTCCAAACATCTGGACTTATGGTGAGTAGATCTCTTCCTGGAATTGTAACAGTCTGGTCCAGGTACTGGTGGCATTGAATCCATCTGTGTGAACCTCTCTTCTCCTATACCACACTCAAAAGCCCTCACATCATCCAACTGTGCCAACCCTTCCAGCATTCCTGATGCACCCAAGAAGGTAGCACCAAGTGCTACTCATTTTGTCATTGCTCAGTCCTTGAACTCCCTCCAAACATCTGGACTTATGGTGAGTAGATCTCTTCCTGGAATTGTAATGGTCTGGCCCAGGTACTGGTTCAAAACCCTTGTCACTGCTGTAGGGTCTTTGAACAGACTCATATACCTATAACCTTTCCTTCCCACATCTTGATCAGCACTTCTGTCCAGTTGCTGTCCCTTATCCTTTAAACTTGCTTCAGGAGCATCCATTGAGCCAGACTGACTAGGTCCTGCCTGCTCTGCTGTCATGGTCACTGTACATCTCTCTTTTCCAGGTACTGCTACTCCATCAAACTTTGGGGCCTTCCACTGGAGCTTATTTTCTTCCCTCCATGCTGCCACAAATGCTTGTTCTACATCTGCCTGTTGCACTTCATACTCTATTTCTGAGATGACCTCCTTGGCCATGTCCTCTCCTTCCAAAGCATACTCTTTGATCCTAGCTCTCTTGACACATTGGAAAGAGTTGTGCACTGCTATGAATATATTCACATTCATTGGAGGTTCCTCTTCATGCTCAATACAAATGATGGGTGCTTGCTGCTCTTCTCTCCTCCTCCTGTCTCTTGCCATCCACTTGTCTATCAGCTGGTACATCAGCTCATCCATTTGAGGAACACACATGCCATTGTTAAACTTTACCCAATTGTCTTTGATGATACACCTGTTAGCCATGTGATACCTTTCCAACATGCAACAAGTCCTTGTGCAGTGTCCTTGAAGGAAACAGAAAAAGCAGATTATTTCTGAAGGTGGCTCACATGCTCCTTCAACAATGTTTCTGGCTGGTACAGGTGCTGCCCTTCATTGGGCCTGTGCATCTGCCTGAACCTGAGGCTGCCTCTGGACTAACTTGTGCACTATCCTCCTGGCTTCCTCCCCAGGCAATAACTGAATGATGCCCCTCCTTGCAGCATGGCTTCTCATTGTATGGTACCCATGCCTCAGAAACTCTTTTATTTCTCATATGACCTTGTTCATAGGCTAGGGGTTGTCCAAATCACACAAACTGTTCCTAAATTTCAAGTTCTTGAGTGTGTCTTTCTGAAGTTCTGGGTCCAAGCCCTCCCAGAAGTAACCATTGTAGTCTTCTTGGGTGAGCTTGTAATGTCTGTTGAGATAGCCTGCAATGGTCTCATACTGCTGAAGATACTCGCTGAGGTCCTCTTCCCTCACTATAATCTTCCTGGACTGTGCTTGAACAAGATCAACCAGGTCTGCTTTAACATACCTCTTCTCTTGTTCTCCTGCACCAGGGTACACATTTGCCAGTGCCTCCATGAACTCATCCCATCTACCTGTTGTCTCTTGCAGAAGTTGCATCCACAGGTTCACCATATCGTTGTCCAAATACCAGATAGCCCACTTTGGCCACTCATACTCATCTGTACACCCTGCCTTCTTGCACAGGTGGTAGATTTCTTCTAGATAATGATAATGAATGTTATGCCCGAGCACAGTGACTTCTTCAAATGGAATAGGCATGAAATGTGCGAGGGGGAGTCTACAGGCTGAACATGTCATAACCCCTATGGCTCAGTTATCTCTGAGGTCCAACAAAGGTTCTGTCCTCTGGTGATCTGCTAGGTCAGTCACATGGGGAGAGAACAAGGACGAAAGAGAAGGAAGTTAGCTGAGTTGCAAGCTATCAAAAAACTGAGGATACAAGGTAAAGTATGTGGGATTTATATACTCCTAAGTATGAGTACCATACCAGTCGCAACATGATGTGTATCTGCAGTAATCAACAGAGCAATCAGTCAAATAACTTAAACAAGAGGAGTCATATGGTGTCATATGATGGGGATAGGCAAGGGAACAAAGGCTATACTGGTGGCATAATCAATGCACAGCGAGGAGCCAGACACTGGATCTACAGTACAACATTTGGGCAACATAAGTGAGTCAGAAAGAGTCAACCAGAACAAGAAGTAAACATGTTGTCCATCAGAGAGGGCAGTGGAACACCAGATCAAAGGGGAGGCACAGTCTCGACTGGTATTGGAAATACCTTGGCAGCAGGAGATCCAAATGACCCTTCCAACATATGGGCCCCTAGGATGGCAATGATTATGAGGGATGCAAGCAGGCATGTGATGCATGTGACCATGAGAAGCCAAAAAAGGCAGGACCCCTGATGGGAGCATAACAAGGAACCAGATTGGCTGTCTTCCCTGAGAACTTGGGCACTTTGTCCAAAGACCTAGAGTGCATTTTCTTGAGTGGCTTGGGTTTGTCAGATGCAAGGGTGCCTTGTCTGAGAAGCCTAAGGATACATTGCCCTTCAGATAGTTCCTCTGGCTGGGCCATTCTCCTCCTTGGCTCCCATGCTTCTGTGGATGGAGACCTATACCTCAAGTGATGTTCCTTCTCATGCTTTTTCTCCTTGCACCTGTAATACCTTCTTCTCCTTTCCTCCTCCTCACTCAAGTCACTCAATGAACTATCCATAGAGTAGGACCTCCTATGGCATCTACTTCTTGACTTGTCCAATCTTTTATGTGCATGGTGATGGGACTTCAACCTGTGCCTTGCTCTGTAACTTGACCTGGAAGTTGATCTGTACCTGGGCTCATGTCTCAACCTCAACTTCAAGGATGACCTCTCCCTATGTCCTGACCTATGTCTTGACTTCATCCTCATCTGTGACCTTGAGGGCAACCTTTCTCTGCTCTGCCCTTGGTGGACTGCAACTTTTGGGTCATTGATATAGATTCTATCTGGTGATTGCTCTGTCACCCTTTCCTTTCCTTTGTCCCAGTAGGTTATAAATGGCAGTTACTCTTCTTCCTTTTCTTTCTTAGGCATCATGAACTTCAATGAGCTCATCAGTCACCTGTTGTCCCAGATCACTTTGTACATGTCCTCCAAGCCAGTAGTATTGACTTTTGCTCCTGTAAACATAGGAATGGAAAATGGAACATCTTTGGGCTCCTTTATGAATACTGTGAGTGGTAATTCTGTGAGCAGTGGGGGTGGTTCTTGTAGGAGCTTCACTGCTTCTTCTGTCAAACTGAATGATGTTTCTGAGTTTGATCCAATAACTGGTGCCAGTGTTCAATATTCTGTGAAGTTGGGTTCTCAGGTCTGTTTTGGCACTTCTGGTTCTGGGGATTCTGGAAGAGGAACTTCAGTGGGGAGCTTCCCAAGAGATGACTTAGCTAAATGGGGAGGTGTTGCTTTCTTCCTTGCTTTGAGCACTTCTTTCACTTTCTTGTGTCTCTCCTAGTGGGCAACCCTAGCTGCCATTCACCTGAGGTTGTACTTTACTTCCTGGTTGTCAGTTGAAGCCCCTCACAGTGGGCTCCAAGTGTAAGAAATTGTTTCCTGATGGCCAAGAACTCTGACTCCAGAAGAGGTAGGTTCTGCTTGAGTTGGGTCAACCCTGAAGGGGCTTTGGTCTGGATGCAGGATAAGTACTTTAGACAAACAAAAAGGGAACTCACCCAAGAGGATATATCTAGACTCTAAAGAAGAACTTGACAGAAAGGAGCTGAAGCAGTGATGTCTTTGCTCTCCCCAAAGAAGGACACAGAGAAGGTGGTGATGTGTAGTACAGTAATCCTTGCCTGTGCTGTACTGTAGTCTCTAAGTGATGTGGCACATGCTGTGACCACCCATGTGCTTAGTCAGCTCTCAACTTTTTGACACTAAGTTCTCTCAGCCACACCCCCTAAGTCCAAACCCACTTCAACCCATCACCTACACTTTCCACCCTCAAACCTTTCCTTTGTCACACTAGAGGTGCAACTTCTCATAGGGAAAAGGTCTGCATTCCCTACAGCAGTGCACCTGAGTGACCTTCTGGAAGTGACAGCAGAATCCCTCATGGTGGGCTCCAGTTGTAGGAAAAGTCCAAGTAGCTGTATAATAAGAGCTAGATGGCTCAGATAAGAACAATAAAAATGAAGGGAATGAATTGCTTGTCCTGAGGGATTCTGGACTGCCAAGACTAGAAGGTGAGACCCAGCACTTTGTAGTGGTAACAATTTGTGACATGCATGGTGTGGTCTGCAGAGTAGTACTGGAAATGCAGGCAGTGTGCATAGTTCATGCATGGCAGTATGCAAAATGTGCAGTGTAGACAAAGTGGAAAAGAAACTCATGGTGACCTTCCAAGTGCCAAAAGGTATCATTCTGTACCTAAGTACAGGGCTTTATAGTCTGGGCAAACCCAGAACCTAAGTAAGACAGGGTACAAGTAATGGAAAGCCATGCAACAGCATGTACATACAAGACAGGCTGAACAGAGGCCAAGGGTATACTACTAACGAAAAGGGAACAGAGACCATGGTAAAAGAAAGAGTCCAAAGGAAGGGGAGCAACTGGAGCACAGTGGCCATGGGTATAGCATTGTGCAAGAGGAAGTGATGGTGTGGGAAGGTAGCATGTGAACAACAGTGGATGCAGGAGGTCCAGAAATGTAATGGTAGTCATAGAACAGTTGATGATAGGGGCTTATGTGTCCAAGGAATGTGGATTCCTTACAGCAGTGAGCCACCTTCTGGGTGAGTTTAAATTCTGCAGGGCCATCTCATACAATGCAGAATTCCCCTCTGCATGAGGCAGAATTCCAACCACATGCCATCATTGTTATGTAATGCCTGCCAATATTCCATGCTTGTCTCTGTTGCATCTCAGTTCAGTCTGACCAAGGATGGTCAGCATTTGAAGTCCCTGGGAGGTGTAGGGAGCCATATACTCCCTGAGGCTGGAACAAGAATCTGTCACTAAATTCCACAGGCCTCTGACAAACCCCTATCACTCTAGGCCTTTGGACACTTTTGGAATTCTTCCTGCTCATAACCTTGTGTTTCCTCCCAACCCCTGCTGCCTTCAGAGTTTCTCCTGACCTTCAGCATGTCACCCAGTCACCAATGAGCTGATCTGGAAATTCTGCATTTGCCCAGGGTCATCCAGAATTCAGTAGCTGAGCCACCACCCCACATCACCACTCATCCATGCTATTCATCTCTATAAAACTCTGGTTACCCCTGTCACCCCAAATTCTGCAAGCTGGACTTCATGCCAGTATGCTCTGCCCTCCTGTGCTTCCCCCTCCCACCAGCTCCACCTCTCACTTGTACATGTACCATCATTCTGTTGGAAGATACCCCTTACTGTTGTTCCATTTTACTCTCAACTACTACTTGCTAGACTATTTCACATGCATCTGTAATTTGCTGATGTCTGTTGTCCTTTCCTTTATTTTCCAGTCTTTTAGTTTTTCTGCCCCACCTTACTCTGACTTGTACCCACATCCCTTGTGCTATATAATTCTGCCATAATGTCAGAAATATACCACCAACTTCTAGGGTCACTATCTGTGTGTGTTCTGCAAGTTTGAGAGTTCCCAGAGTCTAAGTGCATATGTTGAGTCTACAGTGTCTACAGTGTCTCCAGTGGTCCTCATGTCTCCTGTGTCTTCCAATCCTGCACACCTTATCCTGTATCCCTCTCACCTCAAATACACTCTTCTCATCACATAATGGTTTCTCAGAATTTTGTATACCCATCTTGCTGTTCCTTGCATGTCCACATCCCTCCAGAAAATTCTGTGGCCCTTGCATGAATTCCCCTCCCCTTCTAGATTTATCCTTGGCTTCTCCTTCCATCCAGCACCCCTTGGGATGTTCCTAGGGAATTCTCTCTACAGCCTTCCTCTAGTTGCATGCTTCCCAGAAGTCATGTCCCACAGTGGCCATCACAAGCACAACACAGATGGACATGAGCATTGCTACTGGTGCAAATGTAAATGTATCAAAGTAATCAACACCTTCAACCTGTGAGTACCCCTGGGCAACAAGTCTGGCCTTGTGCATCAGCAAAACACAAAAATGTGTTAGTAACTCATAGCTGCCCATAGTATTTGCACAATTCCAAATTAGTCCAAAGCAATGTCAAGCATCCTAGCAACTCATAGTGCCAGAGTAGACTACACCAGACTTGCCCAAAGTAGTGGCCAGCATCCAAGCAACTCATAGCACCTGAGTAAGCCACACCAGTGATACCAGCAATCCAAAGACCAATAGCTACCTAGCATACAAGAGAACAGACACACCTAGCTAATACAGCAACCTAGATTCCCACTGTAGTAGAGAACTTGGTAGATCTAACTTTGTTCCTATGCATGAAGGCAACAACACACAGACATAACATACAGCATTTTTTGATAAGTACAGGAAAGTAATGGATAGTACTAGTCTAGATGAATGGCAAGTATTTGACTACCAGCATGCTCAATAACTGTGCCTATCAAGATCCAGCAGAAGTAAAATAGTGGCCCAAAAGAAAAGAGCAAGCATAGCATAGCATCAGACTTGAGAGATGGCTGCAGCTCACTGGCCAGAACACTAATGTTGAAAATAGGCTCCCCCAGTCTGCATTTTTTCATTGCTACACATAATGAGCTGACCTCCATATCTTTTTCATGGACTCTTGCCTTGCCGCTGCCTGCCTTGTACTTGTACAACTTGGCCATCAATTCGTATTTGTGGGCAATGCATGTGGCCAGAGCTTGTTCTGCACAAAAGACTTTGCATTGTGCACACACTATGTCAAGAAGGAGAAGTGCCTCATGATTCAGCTGACTCTTTGATTCATGCTGCAGATTGAAAACCTATCAATGAGTGGTTATTAGGAAGGAAAAAAAGAACTTACTGTGTGAGTGGATGACTCCAATATTCCATACATCTCAGCTAAGACACTAGTTGTCTCCACTTTGACCTCAGCACTGCTAGAGGGACTGTTGCAGGAAGAGAACCTGCCATCATGAGGCTTATGGGGCAGTCCTTTGCTGCCTGGGTGATGCTCAACTGTGGGCATGGTCAATCCAGCATGAAGGTGTGTGTGATTGAGGTTATAAATGGACATGAGTGACTATGTTTGTGAATGGGATGTGATTGGGTAGTATATGAGAAATACACTCTGTAGCGATCTGAACAACGTCCTGATTTGCACTGAAGTGATAATCATGTAACATGGAATCGGCCTGCCTGACCATCTAGAGTATGCCCTGCTGTCCAAGTTGCAGTAAAGGCAGCTTCCAGAGTCACAGTACTGTCACAATGCACATGAGCCAGCTGTCCTCTGGGTGCAATACCTGGGTCAATAACTTAGTCTGCCTTCACAAGTCTCTCCAACCTTCGAGCTTGAACATTCATAACTCTCAACACCCAACACACTTAGAAGATGTCCCAATGAGCACCAACCCCAATGACTATGCAACTCACAATTACCCAGATTTTGTTCATATGGCAACAGATGACTTTGAGGGCACAGCTAAAACATTTGGACTTGGCCCAACATTTATGGACAAATTTAATGGCAACCAGTTCAGCAACCTACAGGCATCAAATCTGTACTACCCCTTCAACTCCCACAATGAATGGGAGCTGGCATCATGGTTACTTTGTTCAGGCCTGAGCATGAGAGCTATAGACTCTTTCTTGTCATTGTCAATCATAAGCCTGTCCCTATTCTCTCTGAAGATCATTATTGATGTGCACCAGGTACAGCTACTAAATATTTCCTTTCGTACAGCCAGAGCACTTCATGGGCTGGCTGAGTTACTCCCTGGTGGGCTGTGCTGGCACTCAATGGAGATTACTCCTTCATGGCCAACCAAACACCCTGTGCACTTGTACTGGTGTGATCCCCTGGAATGCATTGTGTGGCTCCTCAAGCACCCTTTGTTCTCTGACCAGCTTGATTTCATTCCGAGGCATGTATACAATATGCCCAAGAAGCTTTGTAGGGTGTATACAGAGTGGATGACTGCTGATGATGCTTGGTGTATGCAGGTATGTTTCCACTGCAAGTTATAGATCCTTTTATTCAATTGATGTACCCCAGTCACAGCTTCTGAGTGGAGTGACTCTTCTTGGCATGATACTTTCATCAGACAAGACAAATATTACTACTTTATGTGGTGGCAGAGTTGCTCATCCACTTCTCATCAGCCTAGCAAATATCAAGATGCCCACACACCTAAAATTGTCATCCAACTCATTTATGCTTGCTGCTCTCCTCCCCATCCCCAAGTTTGTGCACAAGAACAAGTGTATGTGTGGCCTCCTCGAAGATAGGCATCACTTTAAAGGTGGTGTTGCTAAGCTGAAGCAGGTGACTGGATGTGTGCACCATGATGTCCAACATTACATCATCAGTGTTATTGCTGGACCAGCCCCTCCCAAAATTATTACTGCTATTTGTGCACTCATGGACTTCCAATACTGAGTCCAAGCTTACTGCATTGATGATGACAATCTTTGTATAATATCTTCTGTACTGGATGAGTTTCACATGCACAAGCAGTCAATACTCAATCACAGTGCACGATGTGGTAAGGGAAACAAGCCCATTGACAATTGGCACATCCCCAAGTTAGAACTCATGCAGAGCATCATACCAAGTGTGAAGCATGTTGGGGTCACCATCCAATGGACTGCCAATGTAACTGAACACACCCATGTATCAGAGATCAAGACACCCACATCAGCTAGCAGTAACAATAACTACAATCCTCAAATTTGCCAGTACCTTGATTGCACTGAAAAATGTAGGACATTTGAACTCACAACATCATTATATGAATCAAAGACTCACTCCCATGGTCATGCAGAAGAAAAGTCCTTGGAGGTTGAGGATGGGAGTTCTGATGATGGCAACAGTGAGATCAGTGATTGCAAGGAGGCAGATCTAGTTTCCAAGACACCAGGTCCCATGTGGCCCATCACCAATTACTTCGCCATCTCTGCGTGCCTCAGGACCCAAGATCCAGACTCCATTCCCTTCCCCTTGCATAGTTTTATCACAGATGGTATGGTGATCAACCTTTCCTATGACCCACCCTTGCAACACATTAGTGTTGATGGTGCTGCCAAGAAGTTTGGACTACTTGACCTCCAAGCTGCCCTTGTCAATTTTCTAAATTGTGAGAAGGTGTATGGACCAAGCTCTGTGCACACTATAAGTGGGCAATGTCGGGGATCAAGCTCTTCAACCCTGCCTTTTACTGATCTGCAGGTTTGGTACAAGATGTGGCTGCAGAACATGGTGATACATGATATCACAGACATCCTCCCTGCCCAGACTCTCTTCTGTTCTCCACCTTGCAAGACCTGGACCCTTGGCTGCTATGATGCAGCTATTATCAATGTGGACCCCCATTTCAAATGGCCAGAGAGCAGCCTGAAAGGATCATGGTCCACACTACTTTTCCATGTCACTCACAAGAGTATCTTAGGTCATGTTGTTGGCCAGCTCCATCTCCTGATGCACCCTTTTGGCAAGAGAGGGGTAAGATGGTTGTGGACAGACCATTTTTTGGTCTACATACAATGTTTTGACATAGCAGCTGAAGATGCAACACACCTACATATCCTTAGGTGTGCAAAGAGAGTGAATGGCCAACATCTTGGTGATGTCATCCCATTCAGTCAGGTCCGGGTGTTCACACATCTCATACCTCACTTCAGGCAAACTGCAGATAATTGATTGACAGCATACAACTCCTTCGAGCATTCTACTGAATTCTATCTCAACAAACACTTTGACAAAAATATGTACTTTGCCCTAAGTTGTTCAGACTCTCCTCCCATCTAGTCAACATACATGTTACCTTACCATATACCAGAGCTTATTACATGTTAATGTTGAAATGCATCAGTATTTTGAGTGGTGGCACCATTTTCAAATGTGTGACCCTACTTGTCAATGACCCTCAGCAATGTCCAAAGACTCGAACAAAAACAGATATCAAACAATAGATGGTACCTACAAGCTGATTGGTTCTCTCCCCCTGCCCACACATGCCACACAGTTCATGTTATGGACAAGTTCACTGCTTCAAAACTTGAGGGCACCATCATCCATGAACCATGGATACAAGTTAGCTCTCCTCAGAGCCTCAGTTATGTTACAAATATTATCTTCAAGTCCTTCAGAGATACATTTACCTCCATAGCTCCCAGGTCCCTGATTGTCCCTCTGAAAACAATTCCCACATGTGTCTGTAGCTATTCCACCTCCTTCAACCAGGGTGGCTTGTCAGAGGTCAGCCTGGTCAGCCTATACAATGATGATAGAAAGCACTGGAACTGGGATCTTCATCCACCCCCAGGCTCTGATTCACCTCCTGAGCAACCCAGAGCTGCTGGTAGAATTGGAAAAGCTCTGCTTTGAAAAGCAAGTTGCTCTGTTTCTCAATGCTATCAGAACCACTGCCAAATCCACAATGCCCAGTCTATCCAGTAAACCCCAGTGTCAATGGATGGCAGACTGGAGCAGAACCAGCTTGTGAGGTTCTACAGGTTATTCCTGAAAGCCTGACCTCATCCTTGTTGATAACACCCTAGTATCCCTTGACAAGATTATGTGGTTAAGTCCCAAAGTCATTGCCAAGTACTCAAAGGAGTCTTTCAAGCCAGCATCCCACCTTGGGAAGACAATGGACACTAAGGCATATCTAACCCTTGTCAACCAGCCCTGGAGGTGCTATGTCCTTGGATTATCAATTACTGATAGTGAACTTCTTTGACTTCACTTTTACAACCACTCTGGTGGTGCAATCTCACTCTCTATCAATATCCACACTGATGCAGAAGTCTTCATATACATTGTATGTGCCATTGCATTCAGCTCCTGCTCAACCCTTGGCTTTGATTCGACCATAGAGATATCCCCCCATCCTGCACACAGCCACAAATGCACAGCACTTGTGATACCTCTCTCCCCTTTCCCCTCTCCTGCAATGCCTTCTCCTCACCTGGAATCAGGCATCCTCCCCAGTGCAAACTCACTCCCAACTCCTGCATCACCTGAACACATCCCAGCAATTGGGAGGATCCAAGTAAACAAGACCTTCTATGAGGTGCTCGATGTATTATTCTTGAGCACAGGCTTTCTAGGAAGGGGTACTGTTTGTTACCTTGCATGCTACAATGGGGAATACTACATCATCAAGGATTATTGGGTGGAGGAGTCGGAGCAGAGGACAACCCTGCACAAAGTCAACATGATGAAGCTGGTCCAGGACATTGACAGAGTTCCCAAGTTGCAACACTACTGGGTCATCGAGGTTGAGCCAGGCATTGTCAATAAAACTGAATGGTATTGTGATGAGAAGTGGCGATCATGCATGAAGTCTTGGAGAACTCATGTGCAATTGGCTATGAAGCGATGTGCAAGGCCAATTGTAATGTTCAAGACAAAAAAGGAACTCATTTCATGCATCCAAGATATTTTACAAAGTACATATCCTCTTCCACTTGTAAAATCAATACTAATTGCTTTAACAGTCCAACAGCAGGCACTCGAGAGGGGTGTCCTCCATCAAGATTGTAGGATCATCAATACAATGATAAAGGACTTCACAAATGGGTCACATGGCTTTCTCCTTGACTGGGAATTTGCTGTATGGGTCACATTACAGGGGGAATATGACTTGGGCAGCACAGTAAGTACTATGCAAAACATTTTGGAACTCAAAGCTTATAGTATGCAAAGGGGACAGTCCCCTTCCTTTCAGTGAATATCCTCTGCCAACTCAAGGAAGCCATCACTAAAAGTGGAAAGACTAATGTCCCATCGATCAGGAAAAGCACCTCTCTCACCCACATATTCATTGATCACCCTACTACTATACACCATACATTTGTGGATGATATCAAATCCCTGTTCTACATTTTCATCTGGATCCTCATCCTTTATGATGGGCCACTTGGCCATGAGCATCAAGATATCAGCCATGAAAAGACACTTCTTGGCTTGTGGAGTGAAAAGGTGGCCAAAGATCTCAAAATTGCCAGATGTGCCAAGTTCACATTCCTTAATGACCTGTCTGAGTTGAGGCTGGATTCTGAGCTCTTGCAATATTTTCAAGATCTAATCCCTCTGGCTAATGAGTGGTGCATATTGCTTGGGCAGTCCCTGCTGAGTGGAACTGCAGTGCAGTTCTCTGACATTATCTCCCTTTTTGATTGTTTCTTGGCCAGCATGCCATATGAGAAACCACTGGAGATGATGAATGCATTCCAGCAGATCATTGCCCAGCACAAAGCACTTAATTCAAGCATGTGTCCAAGTCAGGAGAATGATATGGATGTTATGTCTTCAGCAATTATGTCTTCTAAATGCCTTTGTGAAGAGGTAAGGAGCATGGATAACCCTCCTATACCCAATAAATGCTTCAAAGGCATGTAATCTTAGCATGAATTTTATGTTTAGTTCACATTCTGTACATTACATGTAAAGTGTTTCAATTCATTTGCAGTGGGTAACTGTCTCCACATGTTGTTTCATTTTACATCTTGCAATGAACCTGTCAATGTTTATATGGATTCACAAGATGTCATTTTGTCGTGGTCCCCAGGCTTCCATCTTATACTGTTCTCTGTTTGACTGCTTGTACCTTCAGATGTCCACCCAATCTGGAACGATCCTGCCAAAAAAAGAAGGGTAGCAAAAAAGCCAAATGACAACCAGAGGCTGACAGAAGCACTCAACCCACAAAAAACAAGTGTCTAGGAAGCCCACCCATCGATCTCAAAGAGTCTCAGTCTGTTTCCACAGCAGGACTTCATCATAGCAGAAGGGCAGGGGTGGGTTCAGGTGGAAGGGCCAAGCAATTGGAGCAGATTGGTACTGCCCTTGAAGGCCAAGCTACACAGTTGTGAAAGTCAACAGATCTCCCCAATAATTCTGTTGTAAATCCTCTTGCACCTCCACCCACTCAGTGGAAAAAGGGTGGGGGCTGCAGTGCTGGCCAGAATGCAAAACCAAAGGTCAGTTCTAGTTATTTGCAAATATCAAGCTAACTGCTTGCAAAGTCCAATGTCACCCCACCACCCTATGCACCTCCCATTGTGAATGGTCCTAGCCCAGCTGATATGCCTCCAGTGAGTGTCTTTTCATACTGATATACAATGTTCATTTCAGAATCCCATCCCTCAGTCTTCAACAGCAGTAGCAACACCTGTCTTCCATCAGCACCCCACAGACTCCCATTGCTTTGGTTTCAGTGTTCCGGCTCAACAGCCAGGTCATATCATGCCTCCTGGGATGGAACCTGACCTTCAAGTGCTCAATAATCCTTATATCACCACAATTTGGGGAGACCAAGTTCCCAGTAATACATCTCGTCCACCAACACCCCAGCCCAACTACCAGTCTTGGTTTATCCCCCACCAGCCACCTGCTACCATCCCCAACTCTTGTATTGACCCCTCCCTTGATAGCTCGCTCTCACTGAGACAAACTTTGGCAACTGCTGACATTTTCCACAAGAGTTTGGAGAAGCTGTAATCAGAGGGCTCCTCAGAAGAGGAGTCAGAGTCCTTGAGTAATAACCCATCAGATGCAGAGGCTGGCAAGGTCTCCAATGATGAGTTCAACAAAGATGAGGACGATGCATTTGGATGGGCTGCAATGAATCTTAGGCAATCAACTCATCCTGGTACATGTCAGAGGTTATTATGGTATTGGCTCAATGTTCTTTGTTAGGCTTCTCCCAAGAAACAATGACAAACAATCCTATTCGCCACAATTCCTTACCCCATGACCATGAGTTTCAGTACTCACGTGATGAGGATGATGATGTGGCTCTGCAAAGCTTACAATCCAAGGACAAGGCTCAGCCAGAGGTACGAAAATGCCATTCCTGCTAGCTTTATTTATTCAGATTGTTATTTTAGGGTTCCCAATGTGGCACTGTCATTGATGTTCTTGAATGCCACCATCACACTAACAGCCATCCTGTTCCCAATCATGATCTTCTGACCCTTGTGCACAACTTGGTCAATGAAGTATCTCAGCATGCCAGAGCCCCTCATAACTCCAAGAAAGCTAAGGATGAGAGCCCATTGCCTTCACAACTGAGATTTTACAAGGCAGTATGGAAGGACTGTCTCAAAGATGCTAAGCGAGAATGCAGGGCTGCACATGCACTTTCTAACCCATTCCCATTGAAATCTCACAACCTCAACCTCTCCATAACAGAGGCACTTGTCACTGTCATCATTGAGTGGAATCATCGCAGTGTGCAATTTGAAGATGGTGAGTAACAATATTTTTGCTTTATACATGTCTCATTATCCTAACTTTATAGGTTACTGGCCTGACCACAAGCAAGATATGGCATGCCTCATAAGTAGTCCTGTCTTTTGGTTACAGCTACTGACATACTGCCAGTTGCTCCTTGGTGATATATCTACCTGGTGTTTGGAATTGAAGTTGGTTATGCTGGCAACCACACCATCCATGTTCAACCTTATCCCTCCTTCTGATGTTGCACCATGGGTTCATGTACAATGGATAGAGACTGCTGCTGCAAAGCTCCTTGACAACTTGCTTTTCCTGCAAGATGGTTTTGACGAGAATGTATGTTCATGCAGTTTGTTGTCTGCACTACTAACAGATTGGTTTATCAGGGAAAAACCAGGAATTTCACTCACCCTGCCCTCAAGGAAGCTGTCATACAATTCTACTATACCAGGACCTATTGAATCATGGATAAGCATCCTGAGTCCTTCAACAATTCAGTTCCCCTTTCCTGTCTGGCTCTTGTTGCAGCTGCAGTGAGTTATTTTACACCCTGAGTTGCTGCAACTCAAACTTTTCTCACAGTGTCATTGTGTGTTGGATGGATTTGCAAAGAATGGCACAGGAAAGACGATGCCTCAATTCTCCAGCAAGGCTTACAATTCCATTTTCCATGGCATGATGAAGGTGCTGAACAACATCCTTTGTAATCCCTATCACAGTGCAAGGTTGCATGATCAGCTTTCTCAGTGGGTGAAGGAAGGATGATAAGTACTGGGGCAGCCAATGTGCTTGCACTGACTCCTTGTATCAGGGCTGCACTGCAAGAGGTTGATTTGAATGTAGAAAGGTACCAGCACATTCAGGCAGTCCTTGATTGATTTCATAATACCTAGTCCTGTCATACCTGTCATTACATGTAGTATGCAATTGATGCCAATGCTCCTGTTCCTGTCATACCTGCTGTGAACTGTTCCTAGTTGTGGAGTGATCACATGTTTGCAAAGTAAACATTGAGATGGGGAGTACTGGACAATGCCCCAAGGAGAATACAGTCTGGCCAGTTTTGTACAGTGATATCTAAGCATGAAAGTTCCATAGCAATCCATAGTAAGTAAGATACTGGACAAAGTTCAATGACAATGTGACCACTCCATAGTAACAGGCAACTAGCCATAGCAAAAAGTGTTGTTGGGTGCATCTGTCCAGCCTGGACCTAGCTAGGGGACTATGTGTATTATGGAGCACTGTGGAGAGCTCCACAGCTCAAAGTGATTTGCTGATGTGCTGCATGATGTTCCCTGCAGCATCCTTCTTGGCCTGGAACACCCAATTTGATCCTACAACATTTGCACCAGGCAGTAAGTCAACAAGTTCCCAAGTTCCTGCATCTCATAACATTGCTGACTCCTCTCTTATTCCATCTTCCCATTGCAGCCAATCAGGACAATGATGAGCTTCAGCTAGCAAGCTGGGCTTGAGAGCTTCTGTCTTGGCAATAATCTCATCCATGGCCATAGCAAGGTCAACACAACATAGGTCATCATCCAAGTCTTCAATGATAGATGCAAGTAGGGCCACAGCCTCTTCCTCCCCCTCAAGCCTGACAGGGTTGGGACATTCCTTGACAATGGTAGGTAGCTGAACTCCTTTAGGTATTTCTGGTGTACCACAATGGTCAGTGCTTCCTCTTCCAGTGAGAATTTCTGCAAGATGTTGGCTGGGCTTTTGGATTTGTTTCACAACAGGTGCTTTGGCTGGAGGCAATGGAGGCATGAATTGAGCTGGGGCAACCAGTGGAGGTGATGGGGCTACAACAGTCTCTGCAACAGGAGCTGTAGATGTTAGCATCACATTTGGTAAGTAGTTTTCTTCTTCCTCCCCCTCCTGAGGTAACAGCTCAGCTGAGGAGGGGTTCCAGTAGACATTCCTCTCAATGGTTACAGACTTCTTTTCAGGCCAGTACACATGACAGCCATTGGGGCTATTATCATCAATTCCAACCCATCAGCCTTCAGTGATGTGTCCTCCAAGCTTACTACCACCCTCAATCCATACCCAGATGCTCAAGCCCCATGCATGGGCTTGACCAAGGTCTGGCTTCTTTCTGGCCACAGCTTCAAGAGGGGTTCCTCCATCAAGCACTTTTGTGGGGGTCCTATTTTTCAACCAAACAGCATGACACACTGCTTCACCCCATAGAGTGTGAGGCAAACTGCTCTTGTGTAACATTGCACAAACTTTTTCAAGCAGAGTGCAATTGAGATGCTCAGCAACTCCATTGTGCTGCAGGGTGTCATGCATGGTGAGCTTCTGCTACATGCCAGCTGCTTTTAGATGCATCATGAATTCCTTTCCTAGGTACTCACTGCCTTGATCAGAGTGGAGGACTTTTATGCAAGTGTCATGTTGGGTGCAACATGTGGCCTCAAACTCCTTGTAGGCTGTGAAGGCCCACTCTTCTGGCAAAGAAGGTGGATGTAGGTGAGTCACATTTTGTCATCAGTGAAGGTGATGTAGTAATGTTGTCCTCCAAGCATTTCCACAGGTGTGGGTCCCCAGAGGTCAGTATGTACCTCTTCCATGAATTCAGTGGCTCGCTCTCTAATGTGTTCCTTTGTGACAGGCTTTCTGGTTGCCTTCACATATACACAAGCTTCACAGAAGGTCAGTTTGCCTTTTGACAAGTCAAACTTCAATCCTGACACAAGTCCTTTTTCAGCTAAATGACAAGCAGCAGTTGGGGATATATGACCCATCCTTCAGTGGAGCTCCATGACTGTAACCATTTCAGTCATAGAGTTCACTTCATCATGATCATTATTGTGAATGATGTGATAGAGACTGGCTTTGGACTTGGGGACACATCCAACAACATCATTGGTGGGATTTCTGATGACGCAGGTGCCTTCAGCAAAGGTGATGGAGTACCCTAGCTGATCAAGACAGCCAACAGACACAAGGGTGTATCCTACCTTGGGTGAGTATAGCACCTCTGTAAGTCTCAATTTAGTTACATCATTCCTGTTTGGTACTTCTACATATAACCAATTCCCCCATAGCTGTAGCATTAAAGAGTTGTTTGTTTGCAGCTGAGAATGACTTGGGCAGTATGCTCATTAGGGTCAAAAATCTCTCCTTGTAGGGGGAGATGTGGTGAGTGGATCTGGAATAATAGAGTTTGATGACATGTGCACTGATAGGGCTGTCAACACTCAATAGATCATGGAGTGTCATCTCATCATCCAGTGCATCCAAGGCATGGGCCAAGACAGCACCCTCTTCATCAGAGTCAAGTGTTACAGCATGAGCAGATCCATTTGTAGCAGTAGATGAAGCTTCTTTCTTTTTATCAGGATCAGGACATTGAGACTTATAGTGCTCCCTCAACCCACAGTTCCAGCAGGGTCCATGCTGGCAAGTGTGCCCTCTGGAGCTTCCTCCTCAACCTCTCCAACTCCCTCATCCTCAACTGGAGGAGTTCCCAGGGGTCATGTCCAAGGCTATGTCACCTTTGCAGGTTCTTTGCTTTGGGCATGAGTGCTGTGTCTCCTTGTGGCTTCATCTTTCTGATTCCTCAATAATAAGGGAGATGAGAATATTGTAGTTTGGGTTGGGCTGTACAAATGAGCAGTTGTGAGCTGACCAGATGCGAAGCTGGTGAGGTATTTGGGTAAGGATTGGATGATGGTTGATTGATAGTCCTTTTCTTCAATCTGTACACCAACAGCTGCTAACTTGTCTCTCTTCATACACAGAATGTCCAAGAATTGGCAGACATCACCATCAGCAGGGCATTGCATGCCTAGAAACTTCATTCACAGGTCCATTTGAGCATAAGCTCCCTTTTTGGTGTACTCACAAATGATCTCATTCCACATGGCTGCAATGCTGCTAAGGCTACACACCCAAAGGGCAGTGGAATCAGGGATCTGTTGAGTAAGTAAGTGTTTTGCCATATTTTTGCTTTTCTGCCACTTAGCAAGTTCATCAGTGTCAGGAGGGACTACAGTCACAAATCCATCTTGATCAGTGGAGGTTGTGCTGGCAGGGTAAGGAGAGGTTCCATCAAAATGGGACCATAGCTCCTTAGCTTTGACAGCAGTCTGGAAGTGAAGGGAAAATATCACCCAGTTTGCACCTTTGATATCAAGCTTTGGAATGTCGCCCAGGAGTGTGTCTGTGGTGACAGGGATAGCAGTGGTCATCAAGGGGAGATGAGGGTTGATTGGCAGTGAGAATATTGAAATGATGGTGAGATGTCATACAGGCTATTGGAGCTCAGGGCTCATAACCTGACAAGAATCTATACAGATGACTCAGTCACATGCAGATAGCAACAATGTCTAAATATATTCACCTATACAGATGACTAGGTGTGCAGTAAGTATAGTAAAGTAAGTGGAAAGGTATTGTACTCACCTCAGTTGCCTGCAGATAGCAACAACCTCTGAGGTGATGGGGTTTACAATGCAGAACTAAATACTGTAGTTGTAACAACGGATGTGAAACACCAGGTGTTGAACCTGTCTACACACAATAAGTATTGTCTCATTGTGAGACATGCTATGGTCTTTGTGGATAACAAGAAAACATGCACATGAGTGTGAGACATTGCAGATACAATAAGCATAAAGGTGCAAAGAGTTAGTTGCACATTCAGTAATAATGTGAAGTAAGAAAAAAGGGTCAAAAACAGAAAATAGTTCTCACAACTTGGAGTGGATGCATTCAGAACAGACTATGTATGACTTGCCAAATCTAACAGCCATCAGTCCACCCTTTGGGTGAATGAGCAACTCTATAATTATGTGAGTCCTTAGTATTCTAGTTGGAGGCCTGGCAAAGTGAACTCATGAGGCATTCAGAGTATTGTCTTGATGCCAATTTGTCAAAAATGACTTCCCCTTGTAGATGATAGTTGGTGCAATTGATCCACCATCAGCACAAATGGTCACCATCACAGTGATATTTTCACAATTTCCATCCTGCTGCTGATGTTGCATCTTCCTTTGTGCAGGACTAATGACATGCTGTCAGCATCCATTCCCAGGCTGGAAGCCAGTCTTATCTGCTGCCCAGATGCAGTCCTCAACAATATTATTATCCTTGATGGTGCTCTCATGTAAGTCACACCATACTTTGTGGGTGTGCTCATTGACTGCCTGCCCATGAGCAGAATCAAGTGGAGAACTCCAGTATGTGCCCAAGTGCTCTGAGTGCTGATCAAGGAAATGCCCAGTCCAATTCATTCCAACCCCTGTCTCTAGAAAAGAATTGCCAAGTCATGCTTGTAGGAGGGTGTCAACATGAAACTTGAGCCTCTTGTGATTGAGTGGGAAGCCTCTTGCTGCAAGGTCAAGGCAATACTCCACAATGCTCTCCTCCTCTTCAGATGTAAGCCAGGAATGATTCTCCTCATTTGCTTGTTGATGTTACACCCATGTCAGGGGTCTTTCCTTTT